TACATAACATTTATATGGGATGAAGACAAACAACAAGGTATTCTCAAAAGACTCATGGTGGCCCTTGGAACACACTTGAAAACCTATGAATCCCAAAGATTTTTAAACACTCATAAAAGCCCTTAAAAACTAGGAACCTTTAGTGAATTCCTAAAGTTTTGTAAAATCCTCTATCCTCTTAGAGACCTTTTAAGGACATTGACACAGTCTAGAAAGCTATTGATATTCACATTATTGACGGGTTTTTTTTCTGAAAAGGAAATGAAACCTCTTAAAGGATCAGATCCTTGTGAGATTATAAGGTTCTCAAACACTAGACCCAGTTTAAATTATAAGTTTGGTGTAATTTATTACCTAGGAGTCAAAATCAGTCCAATGGAAACAATACGAAATAAGTAGTTCGTGTCTCATGTCAAACACAATACACAATAGAGATAGTTTCTTTCCAGCTCCACACAAATTACACGATAATGTATATGGACATTGACACATTAGGGATCTTCAGGGCGTAGGCGCGCTCTATCCGTTCTTGTAAGAAAATGGAATAGTTTCTTTACGTTAATGTCACAGATATGGCACTTGTCAAGCAACCGAGTATTATTTTCAGCAATTTTATTTATTCTATAATATATCTGTACCGGGTGACCCAATAAGACTGTTCCTCGGCCATATCTCAGGAACCGTTCGTCATATAACTTAGGGGTAAACAAAAATTATTGGGTAAATCGGTCATGAAGAATCGCTGGAAAATATTTTCTAGTCAAGAAATTACCCTTTAAACATGTGCATTAGTCAATTTAAAAAAACATCGACGATTTTAATACATTTCCGTTCAAATGCGCTTTAAAAAAACGCCGTTCCACATAGTGTCTCGTGTGGGATGAAATGAATTTAGTCCCGTGCAAAACATACAGATGAATTCCAAAATAATTCCATGAATTACATACGGGTTCCATGAATTCGATGAGAATTCCATGAAATCCAAGAGGTTGTACACCAGAATTCTGCAGTTGTTTTCCTCTTGGTACATACTAGCGATACCTTTTAAGTGTCCTGGGGGCGAGAGGTGGACGCGACAATGAAGGCATTCAATGTATCCGATGCTGCCAAATTGCCGACCTGCGTAGATCAGATGAGCTTACGCTAGTAGCTCTAACTTTGGCTACAAGGGTCCTGGGTTCGAATCTCAGGTAAGGCATGGCTATTTGTGATTGTATAGTGTGTATTGAGTGGGAAGAGTAACAAATTGCTAACACTCCGCTCACTATAATTATTGGGTAAATCGGTCATGAAGAATCGCTGGAAAATATTTTCAAGTTCTAAAAATGATCACCAGAGAGCGTAACTGCCATCTTAATTTTTAAAATTGCATTTTCTTTAAATTTCGCATAATAAATGAGATAATAAGCTAAAAAATTTTTTTCACATTTTTAAAGAGAACCAGTTCATTTTCTTAAAAAAATCAGTTACCTATTTCAAAAACAGTGATGGGGTGGGGTGTTCAATTGTTTTTGCAATAACCTGCTTTAGCTTCTTAACGGTTTGACCGATTTTTAACAAATTTGGTATCTTTGAAAAGAAAATTCCTTGGGCAATGAGAATCAACCAAATTATAGTTACTTTAGTTGAATCCTTCTCCGCCAGAGAGCTAGTCTTGACACCATGTCCCAAAATCCTAAAAAAATCAAAAAATGAAATGGAATGATATGACTTTTTCTTTATGAAAAAGTAGCCAAATAACATCCAAAGAGACCGGTAAAAACCGTTTTTCAAAATCTCGTTCCTAACCTCAAATATTGGGAAAATGAGATTAATGGATCTTTGAAGGCCAAGGATCACGCGGTAAATTTCCTAAAACTACTAAAAATTTAGCTACAAAATGAACAAGATGTTAAAGAGGAAATTGTGAATTTAAAAATTATAAATCATTATTATATATCATCAGAACATTCATGTTGCTCCCAAGGGGCATCCTGAACTTATTCAGTCACTTTAATATTATAGGTATAATCGAGGGTATATTATAGTTAGTTTACTGAATTCTTTTTATAATAAAGCCCATGAAAGGAAAAAGAAAGTGATCGAATGACGAACCAGGTGTTCAAAATGGCCTCCGTTATTTTGGATGCACATCTGAAGACGCTGCTGAGTTGAAAGAACAGCCGTCTTTATTTCTGGTCTTGGGATGTTCAAGATGGCATTCGTAATTCTTGCAATCATATCCTCGCCGGGAGTTGGCCTTGTTGCAAAGACAACATCCTTAATCCTTGCCCAGAGATAAAAATCAAGGCAGGTTAAATCGGGAGACCTGTAAATATTCATTAAGTTTTCATATGTGCGGAATTATGAACAGAATCATTCCAAAAGACAACATCTAAAGATTCTTGTGTTAAATACTTGGCTTGGAGGCCAAGGGCTTCCTCTTGCGATCCAACGGTTAAGGAAGATGGCATCTAAATACTGGCGAACAGCAAGGGCATAATGGGCGGGACAAATCATGCTGGAAAAACATTTTGGCGGACGCCCAGTGGAATATCTTCCATTGAAATTGGAAAAATATTTTCTAAGAAATGTAGGTATGTGCGCCGTTCAAAATAAATAGACTAACAAGCCACCCTCCAATTATCCCACACCAAACATTTACACTATATCTCCCTTCATGGATGCTGGACTTCTCCAAGTCAGCGAGGATTATTTCGGGCCCAAAAGTGCATATTAAGTTTAATTGCCCATCGCTACTGAAGGTGGCTTCGTCAGTCCACAACAGATTTGAAAGAAATTGAGGATTTTCTGCTACCATGTGGCAAAATCTATCCTTCGGTCGAAATCCGGGGGAGTAAGGGCTTGATGTGAGTTGATATGGTAGGGGTGTAGCCCAAAATAGCAACAAATGTAAAAAAAACATGTGGTGTTTATAATTTGACTGTAAAATAAAGTATACTAAACTTTATAAAAATAGGTATCATGGAGTTAAAATTAGCTCCCTGGCGGATAAGGATTCAAATAAATTACTAGCCCCCTGGCGGAGAAGGATTCAATTAAGTTAACTATAATTGATTCTTATTGCCCAAGGAATGCTCTTTTCAACGATACCAAATTTGTTAAAATCGGTCAAACCGTTAAGAAGTTAAAGCAGGTTATTGCAAAAACAATTGATACGCCACACACCATCTTTGTTTTTGACATAACTGAGTTATGTTTTATGAAAATGATAGATAAACTGGTTCTCTTTAAAAATGTGAAAAAAAATGTTTAGTTTATTATGCGAAATTCAAAGAAAATGCAATTTTAAAATTTAAGATGGCAGTTACGCCCTCTGGTGGCCATTTTTAGAACTTGAAAATATTTTCCACCGATTCTTCATGACCGATTTACCCAATAATTTTTTTTTACTCATACGACGAACGGTTCCCGAGATATGGCCGAGGAACAGTCTTTTTGGGTCACTCCCTGGGTCACCCGGTATACTTAAACCGAGGAGGTCACTGACTAAAACTGGATTATTGGATAAAATTAGCTTACTGCCAACTATGTCAAATTGGGTCACTGGATTACTGGGTAAAATTGGGTCACTGTATGTCAAACTGGGTCACAGGGTGAAAATGGGTCAATCTGAGCAACTGAAGAGAGTATGAAGTGACCCAGTGACCAAGTTGACCCAGTGACACTGTGACCCAGTCCAACTCTTATCGCCAGTGCTAACTGTTAATGTTAATTGAAAAAATGCCATTTCCTTTCAAGATTACACACATTAAAATTGAGAACTTTAACAAGCGTGGCAAGCGGCCGGAAATGTATAGTCTGCTCTGCCTCTTTCATGGAAACTAAAAGTTCCTGGTAGAAAGTAGGCAAGAAAATGAAGGTGATTTTCAGGACGATTTTAGGTAAAGAAAATTAAAGGCAAATCTTATTCTTGAAATTATTTATGATAATAGCCCTTTCAGAGCAATAACGATATTGAGTCCTAGTTGACAAGTGATTACATTTGAAAGGATATCAAATATGAAGGCTTTCTACAATGGAATCGACTAAAAGCGATTTACATCCTTACACTTTCAGGAAGCACGCATTATTCGGTAATTGCTAGTCAAAGGAAGAGTTTTCTTCGTCGTCTCTCGCGTTACACACTCCTAAACGCGAATTCAATTTAATCTCAGAAAGTAGAAATAAATGGAATAGGGAAACGTACTTCCAACTTTCCACTTGACTGAAAAATACAATCTATGCCGGTCGATTGTGGTTATTTCTTCTGTGCCCTGGGAGAGTGATTATTTTCCAAAATAGATTAATCATAATTTTGCCGTGGCGAACCTTTCAGGAATTACCATAATTGCACTTTATAGGAATAACTGCTTTGCATTTAAATGAACGCATATAGATTGGTTTATAAAATTTACACTAACATTCATTTCATTTTAAAAATGCATGGTGCGAGTGCTCTTGTAGGATTTATTTAGTACCGGCGAATTTGTTAGAGAAACGTGCCCTTAAAAATCAAAATTTAAACGTTTAGGGTTACATTCCATTTAATCGTAAGTCGACCCTGAACTTAATCAAGTGGTCTTGCGAATTTAAGCCTGAAAATTATTGCGCCCACAACACCGCAGAACCGTCGATAAAGTGCGCAAACTGAACAAAAAGTCAACGTTTTACAACGACACCTACCTAAATTTCCCTTTATTAAAAAAGTGGCAGCATTTTTATTACTTTAGCCGTACCACAATTGCAAAGGGTGGCGGTAACAGATGGCAAAACAATGATGGAGTGGTGAGATTTGCTAAATCTCTTAACTTTGGTTCATCCTAATGACAGTTAATCCTAAAAGCTTTGTCAAGCACACACTTGTACAACTTAACTTGTATAATATACATTACTGCACATTCTCTACATGTCATGCAAAATAACTAAAATCCCCCTTATTTGGGGGCGGACAATTCGTTGCGGATTATGAAACCGAATCGATTCATACGGCATTCATGAATTTTAAGTATAAAACTTACCACGTAAACTGCTCCCAGAGGCATTACCAAACAAGCAACCATAAGATCAGCGACAGCCAACGACACGATCAAATAATTGGCGACATTTTGCAGATTTCTTTCTAGTAAAATGGCGGCTATAACGAAAACGTTTCCTGAAAACAACAGAAAAAAATTCGCGTTACTTCAAAATGCGATGATACGAATAGCACATTTCAGCAATAATTGACTAGGAACGAGAACAGAATTTTAATATTGATTCGAACGTATTTTTCGAACCGTAAATGAAAATCGTACTCAATTGTGTAGATTACGTTAGCGTCCAACAAGTCTGCAAATATTTATACGGAAAACATTTTAACTACCCCTGCGCTATTTTCGGTTGTTTGCAAGTTACTCAAAATGAAATTGTAGCACATACCGAATCAACTTTTCCGCGCTTGTTGCTAAATATAATTTTTATAATGCCACTTAAAAGTTTTATTAATACGATACGAGCGCTAATTGTATACCCACCACAATACGCTAGTATTAATTAACATCGCTAACAGACTAAAATTACGGATAAGGTAAATGAGAAAATTTTCTATCTATGCTATAATGTTAACGGCCATTTTCGTAAGTGTAAGTACATATTGAGTGGTACTTTGAGCTTTGTCCGTTTTAAGCAAAGACTGCAGGTTGGGATAATATCATTTTGATGAAACGTCTCTTCTGTGTACCGACGTCAAACCTAGAGACCATAATTTTTGTTGTATAATCGAATCTGTCTTGATAGTTTTGGCAGATTGTGAAGTAATGAGGATGACCTATTGCAAGTGTTATTTTAGTATTGGAACACTCTGTCTTAAAATAACTAATAATCCATCTTAAAATGTAACCATGAACACGATATTCATGGAACTAGCTTTTAGTCGTTATAAGTGCAATTTTCACTTAATTTGCACATTAGTCGTTAGTACTGCTGTGTGCAAACGGTGACTAAGCCAACTACAAAATACCTCTCAAGCTAACTCATTCAAATAAACTTTCTCAAGGCACGTTCGGCAGTTCTCAGCCATCAACAACTCCAAGGAATTACTTAAACAAATTTACTGGCCACGAATATCAAATTTAACAAGAGAACTCTAATCCAGGGTCGCAAAATTTAGGGTTCGATTAAACACAAAATTGTCCCTTGATAAATAAGGTAACATTTATTAGGGATATATGCAAATTGTCAAAGCTGAAAGATGTAGAGGCCCTTAGGTATGTATACCACGCATGCAAGTGATCGATAGACAAACCTTAATTACTTACAGTTTTAAATAAACCAGCAATCTGATTTTTAACTGAGATTTTCTGGCGCGCAAAGAACTAAACAAACATTTGCTGGCAGCTTCAACAACTGATCTTGATAAGACGAACTGCCTTTGTTGAATTTGGTTGAAAAACACCATTATTTTTCCGTATATGACTGAAACACTTTAATTCGAAACTATTAATTCGCGTAATGACGTAGCAAATTAAATCAACGAACTTTCTTCAAGACACCAATTCACTATAAAATTAAAGGACACGGTCTTCTCGTATTTAAAGGATCTCCTGTGTTCAATTTTTAAAATTTGTCTGTAAGATCTCGTAACCAAACAGCCTATCAAAACCAAATCTTATTAACGCCAGCTGCGAAATAAAGTGCGCAACTGCTGTTTTCAGGATCTGCTTAAAAAAGAGACCTTACTACAGTGTGTCTACGTAATAAATAGGTAATAAACTCTATTTGGGTCTCACAATGGGTTCGAGTAAACAGAATTAATTGATTGACAATGACAAAAATTTATTCCAAAACACATAATCTGGTTGTGAAAGGTTTGCGATATTCAGGCGCATTTGTCAAAGACCCAAAAACACTCGCTGAAAGCTTCAGGAAACTTCACTTCTTTGTTAAACTGAACTTAATATCTCGAACTGACTTGATAATAAAACTTCGGTAGCTGCTCGAGCGGTAGAAACTTTTAGAAAACTTTCACTAAGCAGACAACTGCTTTGTTTATTCACACTCTAACTAACCTTTTCAACGGACAAAAAGTATCCACAAACTTTGACTACTTCACTTGACGATAACTTAAACCTTTTATTAAGATTGCTTAACTTCTTTTGCGCCCTTTCATTCGAAACCGGCGAACTGCGTCTTTAACAAAACAAATAGGGCTGACCTTAATTGAGCGCAAAAAAACGTACACCCTTTTTTACCGTTGCGAAACCAACAGCGACATTTACGCGTCGATAAGGAAACGCCACATCCGCTATAAGATTAAGCTCCTCCTTCCGGATTTTCAAAAAAAGCACGAACCACAATTAGAATTGATAATGTCGGCTTCGTAAGAACGTCACCATTTACACCGAAATCATGCACACATCATCTGCATCTCTTAAGAGCGATAACACCTGCCTTAATTAAAATTTGATTGATAGAAATTCCTGATAGCAAAACAACCACATAAAACCTTTTATATAATAACTCTCCTGCCGGGAAAGAAGAGAGATAATCATTCTCATTAAGTTTTTGGTCCGTTAATTACCGACCAATAGATTTGGTTTCTGATGGTATACGAAAATCCAGAAAACCGGCAACTTCGTGCGGTTTGAAGAAAGTATCAACGTGATAACCGATTGCGTTTGACATATGTCCCATTTGGCGATGTCGCGCATTGGTGACGGAAAGGACGGACACGCCGACTCCAGTAATCTACAAAAAATCGGGTGCTGGATTTAACGTGTTTGAGGAGTACACGGAAAATGTTTTTGAAGTCGTCGCACATTGCCGTGAATGGCAACGAAGAACAAGTCCCGCCAGGGTGCGAGCCTCCGCTAACAATTTGACGCAGGAGGCATCTATTGCAGCTAATACCGTTCGGTTCCCAGTATGTCTGCACTAAAAGAAGTCTGTAATGAGAGAGCTCGTCTTCCAGGTTTTTTTCATTAAAAGCGAACAAATGAATTTTAAAGTCAAATTTGTGTCATAAAAAGGTAAGAAGTAAATTTACTTCAACTAAGTACTATGCAAAAGCACAATGAAGTAATTTGTAACGATTTACTTTCTCCATTACGAGCAGTCAATATTTTTATAGGCACTTCTTGAAATATTGTCGCAACTTTTGAATCTATTGGTGGAATTTCAACCACGCAATTTTAGTGAGCTGCGCTGCGATTTGTGGTTATTGGCGGTCCACACAGCTTAGGTGTTAGTTGAGAACGCATGGAATTTTAATTGGCATCATCCCTACTTTATTAATCTCTGACAAATCGATTAATTAAATTGGGGATTCTAGAATAATTAGTGAACGGATTAGACTAAAAACTCTAATAGGGAGGATATAATTGCGTTTTTCATCTTTATCGTTCGCCATCTGCATTTTCCGTAATTGAAGTGTACCTTTTCTTTAGGTGTCGGCTGATACAATTTCCATCGACTATTGTTGCATTCTAGATGATGCGATCAAAAATGAGTTGCCGTCGAGTCGCTTGGGAAATTTTTGTTTACATGGAAAGTCGTATTTAACTTGAGCTTCCAAAGGCGACTCGATAGCAACTCATTTTTGATCGCCCGTTATAATTAGCTATCTTATTAAAGAGATATGTACATTTTAGTTTATTAAGAAAGACTGATTTTCTTTTAGGGTCTTAATCGTAGGGTTCAAGTGTTAGTTCAAAATCTAGTTTTAATTGACCAGCTTAAGTGCGGACGAGTTTGGAGTTTATAACCTTGGATTAAGCTCACCTTGCCTGCGATTGCCAGCACCTTAGACATATTTTCCACCTGTGACAACGAGCGGCCAATTTCTGGAATTGAGTCACCGGGTCATGAACGGGATCTTACATGTTTACTTATACTTGGCCCTATACGTGCGAATTTTTGCCCGGAGTATCAATTTATTTGTAGAAAGTTGTGTTAAAATTCGGTAATTCGCTATCCTACTGTGGAGTTTATTTTTGATTTGATATTTGGTGTGAACACACCAGTATTTCCTTTCGTACCTAAATTGTGTTTTACTGTTTTTACTACCCTCGTATCAATTTCATATGGCGAGAATTAAGTTCGAAATTGAGCGGCGCTCTACAATTGGTAGGTGCAACAAAGATCATTTTATCCAGAACGATCTATCGCTGTGGAGGATTCTCAAGCACTTATTTTGTTTATGCAGATGGCGAACAACAAAGAAGAAAAACGCAATTATATCCTCCCTATTAGAGTTTTTAGGCGAATCCGTTCACTAATTATTCTAGAATCTCCACTTTAATTAATCCAATTGCTAGAGATTAATAAAATATGGATGATGGCAATTAAAATTCCGTTCTCAACTAACGCCTAAGCTGTGCCGACCACCGATATCCACAAATCGTAGCGCCGCAAAATGCTCGTTTTGGTAGTAGGCCGTTTATGCGGCGAGTTTGAGGAAACGCAGGGTAGCTAGGGTTCTATCCGTTATAATTTTTTTAGCCCGGGCAGTACCCGAGGCCCATATAATCAGTCACTATTCAATCTTTTGTGTCAAGTGTCTACAAACAAAGAAAATTCGTGGGGTTTCTAGAACAAAGTAGGAAGAAGATTTCAGTCTATACTTGATACTGAAGAGTGCAAAATAAATTGATCTTCCCTTTATAACCATCCCTTCCGAAACTTAAAGGTTTTGAAACCTGCAATACCCCAAATCCTTTATATTATTTATTGTATATAGAAAGAAGGTGACACTATCAATAGAGATGCCGTAAACGAATTTCCTCACTGAATTTGAAAATGACATCCAGAATCCACAATCTTTTTCAATAAAAGAGCAAATACGAATCTTCCTTCCTTTGAAAGGTTTTAATAGTTCAGCCGACAATCTTTGGTTAAGGGATGAGATAACGCCCCTCCTTACCCTAAATTTGTGTTGCAAGATCGTAAGTGTAGGTAATTAAATACCTCTTCTTCCTTGTATATAATGTAAGCGAAACCAAATGAGCAGATTGGTGTGGGATAATAATTTAGCAGAAACGGAGTATGAATTACAGGGTTATTGGTTGTTAGTGTTTCTATTAACACACATACGCACACAACTCCGCTCGTTAATACAAAAAATCACCGATTTTCCACGTCGTGACGAGGGGAAACTATAAAAGGGCAATCAACGTACCGCCTTGAAACGATTAAATTAATCAAAGGGGAAATTTATAATCGAACCACGTTTTACCTGCGAACAATTTGCAACTTTTCTTTGAGAATTTCCCTCATAAACAAATGGAAACAGAGTTAATAGACAATTGGCTTCTGTTATTCCAGCTGAATACACAAAAAGGGCAAACGTCGGCATCGCAAAGGGTTCTTGCAAGTTTCATTAGAGTTTGCTACTAATTGTAATTGTTACCGAATACGGCTAGGTATATAATATGCAGATTTGATAAACTAGCGAGGTGCATTCGCGATGTATATCAAATTTGCATTTAAACTAAACACGCTTGCAGCTTCAAAATTTTAACTTTCGCCGAAATATTTGACCTAATTTACCATCGGGTGGAGAATACGTACACTGTATACAAAGTAAATGTTTGTGCTGAAAACATGCTTAAAAGAATTAAATATGAAGTGGGGATATCTGGCCCTTTCTCAGTTCTTAAATTTGCATGATCTTCTTTATTATGGCATTTTCTATTGAGAAAGGGTATTGATAAAATGATATATAGATTGTAATCATGTTATTCGAAATTGAATTCTGTTTGCCGGTTGTGTTTTATGCGATTGAAAATAGATTGTAATGCTTATTGAATCGTTTATGTTATTTATTTTAGATTTTGCCGTATCTTTATCATTTTATTAACATATCCTACTGCCATAAATCAATAAACGGTTTAAATTGCACGAGAACGTTAACGGTCTGAACGTAAAATTGTATTCTGCACCGTCATAATTTTATTATTTAATATCATTGGCAGGTGGAACTTGTATTGATCCGTTTGCATAGTTAACAATGTTGACATATGCATTTTACGTATCGTTCACACTATTTGCAATAGAAACACAAACCCAGTGAGTCTTCTCGCCCGTAGTATTTTACTCACGAATTGATCTGGTTTAACAAATCTTACTATTATTATTGCAACGGAAAGACTGCATAGGTCAGCTTAGGTACATACGTGTATGAGGCCATAACTAAATTTTTCGTTTTCAGTCGAACCCTGTGTAGAGAGAGAATATTTCCACCGCTTGCGGTATAAAAGTCCGCTAATCAAAGGCATTCCTGTATATTTTGAGGTCTGTCCTTTTCGAACGAGTGATCCCCTTTATATCGGCGGGTTGTTTGTTGTTGTTTTATACATGAATTTCAAGGTACAAAAACATTACACATTAACATTGATTTTGACTATTCACTTTATACCGCTTAGATTCCTCTGGTACTGCCGCTTCTCGCCAATTCTTTGTAACATTGGAAGGGCTGCAACCTTCGTTTTTAGTTCAGCACTTCCTGTTAGGTATTAAGGAAGTGGCGTCCCTATATGCATTTTTTGTTCTTTTCAGTGTCGGTTGGCTTATTTCCATGACACTATAAGCGATTTTCAATCTTAAAGGGTGTTTACATCACTGGGCGAGGGCTGGTTTCGCAGGTAACTTTTCTCAAATTGGTGTCCGAGATTGGGGTGGAGACATTCGCCCGGTGTAACGAGAGCATTTGGGTAGAATTTTTGCGATTTTTCCCTTTGAATTATGAGAAAGTTTAAAAAGTAGTCGAGGTTTCAAGAACATTCTCCCAAACAAATATTACTCAAGTTAAGTTTCTATTTTGTCGATTGTAATAGCAGAGATACGTGTGTCAGTGGATTAATTGCTTTAACTGTCGGCCCATTGTCTGGTTTTGGTTTTGAACTACACGCTTGAAATAGGTCATGTTGTTACTTCTGCAACTTTGCAAAATAAGCACAGCTTGGTAAAAAGCGAATGTCACTATACAGTTCTGAAAGGTGGTTGAACCAATGAAAATTAATAAAATATCGCCGCAACTACTATTCCGCCATCGAATAGGCGTTAAAAAAATGACTTCAGAGAGATTAGAAAATCGTTTAAGCAAATTCAGAGCGACTTCGTGGTCCAGTTAGCAAGCTTTTTGAAATCATCATTATTAGCCCAAGTGGAAAAATAGTACCGTCTCATGTGAATATGAAAAATCCCAACGTGTCGAATTAGTATCGGATTTCATGATTTTTATTAGGGTTGTCACTAGGGAATGCAATCTCGCAGCAAAATCCCAATCCCGGTATTTGCGGGATCGTTAGATGTTAATCCCACGGGATCCCGGTATTTGCGGGATCCCCCAAAATTTTAAATAAACTGGCAAATAATCAATTTTGTGCGGTTAACTTCTGTATTAAAATAAATCGCTAATTATCACAATATTCAACAAAAAAGTACCTTCAGCCTAATTTAGAACTCAAAAAAATCACCTGTAAAGCACAAAAGGGTGAACTTCTAAAGTGCCTCAAAAATCATAGTACATTTTTAACGAAAAAAGTTTAACAATTATTTAAAAAATAATTTCTCCCTTATGCTTCTCATTAACAAAGCAAACCGAGTCGCCCCCTTGATCGACAAACTCCTCAGTCCCGCAAATCCCGCGGGATCCCGCTCCATTTATGTGCAGGATTAATCCCGCAAAAATGCTGCGGGATCCCGGTATTTCGGGATCCCGCAATCCCGGTATTGCATTCCCTAGTTGTCACTGTTCAGGTTATGAAAGCAACGCTAAATGATGCCGCTTCGTCTCGCAAAAAACCGTTTGGGATTGGTCGTATTCAAAAGCATTAACCAATTAATGTTTAAGCGTGCCCATATGGAGTCTGCCGACTGTCAAAGTAAGCACTGCTGTAATTGTTATTTCTGTTTGTTTAAGAACAGTACAAAAGCAGAAGCAATTAAAGGCTTGTGAGAAAATAATGTGGTTTGTTCATTTACGGAAGAAATTACATTGTTCTTGAAAAAGCAGTTTGTAGTGTATAACGAAATACTATTATAAGGTTCTTTTGTATAATAAAAGTCAGAGCGTTTTCCCGTTTGAACAGCCATAGCATTGAAAATTAGAAACTGTGCCAGTGTTATCATTGTTTCAATGTAGCAAAAAAAGTGGTGACGTTTCATGAAACTTTCAGTTAGTGTTTTTGTGTCAGTGCGCCGAAATTTCGCACGACAGATTATGGGATTGTTATTTGAAAAACGTACATCTAAGATTTGTTTATGTGTGTTGAGTTGACCACCTGGGTGCGGAGTAAATATAACGGGCTCGTGCCACTCTTCATTTCAGGTTTTTCTTGATTGAGTATTTATTGCGTAGTTTCGGAATAAATTTGTCTTTGTCAAATAATTAATTGTGTCTTTCTTTGACCTCACGCTATTGATCCAGATAGAGATCTCGTGTTCAGATTTTTTCTCTTTGTGTCTAAGATCTCAGGTGTGTAATTGATTTCTTGAGAACTTTCGAAGGCTACTAAGTCTTCTAAATTATTAATTTTGAGTCATTATTAGGATTTTGCTTTATAACAAATGCCGGAGATGTACGAGGAGAGATAATAAAAAATTCGAAGTTTCAATTTTTGATTTATTTGAGGTATCTGGACAGGTGTTTTGTGGGTGGTGTAGTTGACCTCACGCTATTGCACACAGCAATACTTTGTCGTTTGATTGTATTTTATAAGTAAACGAAATAGTAAATTGCCATTTATATACAAAATTTGACTTTATTTTCTGAGCTGGCCAAGTGGCATTAACATTGATCATTTGCTGAC